TCCCAATTTCTTAAATATAGAAATATCCTACAATTTCCAGCATTTTTAATTTAGTATTTGTGTAAAACAGATTTTCTCTGTATTCATAGATCCAGTCGAAAAAGACCTCAACACCCTCAAGGAAGTATGTTAGCATCTACTAATAGCAGTCATAAAAAATGTGATCATAGGTTCTTACATAGGCGTGTTTTCTCCTCTCCCCCTTATATGCAGTTGTTAAAAACAGACAGCATTTCCAATAAGCCAGAGAAGCCTGTTCCTGTTGCCCCTGTCCCCTCCACTCCCTCAGTTCAAGCTACACCTTCATCCAAGAGTTCCAGCCTCCCCCCGTCTGCCTCTCAGCCTCCGCAGGCTGCTCCCGCTGAAGCTGGACTAGATTTTAAGGGACAGGGGCTGCCAGTAGTGGAGAGCACAGGGGCCAAAGAGGAGTATGGGTACATTGTCACCAATCAGAGGTCAGCATTTGATCTATTTTAACACTCAGTTCTTCGGTTCATAGTAAACACATCTAAAACATGAAAAAAAAACTTTGTTTGAGTTACTAATGATTTGTTTATTGTAGTGATGCTTTAATAAACGCTGTCTAATTATAGCCTGTTGTGTAATGTTAATAGTCATTTATTTAAAAGTAAAAAGCAGAAAACTTATTTATTTATAAAATTTATTAAAAATTTGTGTTTACAGCAAAATTAATGATGTTTGTTTCATTCGTAGTCCCCTGAGTCTGTACGATGGAGTCAAGATGTTGGAGCTGCTGGCTGATAAAATACACTTGACAACAAGCAGCTTCATCAACATTAGGTAGCACTGTAGTTGTATCTTAGATGCTTTAGAGACAGTTAGTTTGTTGTACTCTTCATTCCTGTATTTTTGCAGTTTTTGGCGATCCAACATGTGTGTCCTTGTGTTTATGTGTTGCCAGCGTTGTCGGTCCTGCACTGACTTTCCGTATCCGACAGAATGAGCACAACATGACGGCGGCAGAGGTGGCTGCTAAAGCCGGTAAGGCTCAAAAACACAGATTTGCATTTATCCACATACTGTACATATGTTAAACACAATCTCACCATAAGGCTAAAAAAGACCATAAGGCTCAAAATATACGTTCCCAATCTTTGGATTCATCCCCACTGAAACACTAAGAAGAGTACAAGACAAAACAGCATTAGAAATGAAAAAAAGTGAAGAGTTTACCTTTCTATATTACATTAGGAATGTTTTTGTTTGGTAGACTTATACATACTATAGGCATTTCTTTTCCATGAACCGTTTGCCTCATGGAGAACTGAAATGTTGTAAATAAATGTGTTTTTGTCAGGTTGTATGCAAGAGTCGGTTTACAGTGTTAGACCCGATATTAAAAGGCCTGTGTTGTTTTTTTATTTTTTTACTCCAACAGTATCTGAAAAGAATTTCCTGGAGTCTGAGACGGGTCTGAAGATTGTACAGACTGGTGTGGGAGAGGTATTTGTTTTACACACAAACATTTTTCATCTTTTTTGTTAACATTTTCGCGCTAATTTAATCACAGTGTACTGTGTGTCTTTATTTGCGCTTATCTTTTGTGGCTTTGTTTAGTACTGATACTATGACATGAATGAAATGTATAGCTAAGAAAGTGCTGAGGATGGGCTATGCTAGGCTGCTCAGTGGGAATAACTTGATCACTTTTATTACTTTTAGCGATTAAGTAACCTTTGTTAACACCATCACTACACTTGTGCTGTATACAACTCTTTTTTCGTGTGTGTAAATTTTAGTTGCCAGAACCAATAAGTGAGGCAACACATCCTAACAACCAGCATTTCACTTGTTGCCATGGAGTTCCATCTCCCCCCCACCTCACCCCTACAGAGGCTTCCAGATCCCAGGTGCTATGGCAACAGTCACCAATGTCATTAACCTCATTATTCACCGTTTCACATAAACAGCTTGATTCCTAGCCTGTGAATCGTCACTTATGTGTCAGTCTTTATGTGTAATTGATCATTATTTCCAAAATGTGCATGTAGATTGAATATAAGGATGACACACACACACACACACACAGGCATGCACACACACAGATTGCTTTCAGGGCTACAGTGATAATATCACAGTCGTGCTGCCAGCATCTGTGTATCTGATACTGATGTGATCAAATGGCACAAGCTGATGCTTTTTTCTCACTAGACGTGTGTGTGTGTTATTAATTTATTCAAATGATGTTGTCCCCCCCAAAAAAAAGATAAAAAAAATACTGCATTTCTAAATTACTGTATGCTGTTTTCATTGGTTTTATGTAAATTTTGTAAACTACGACAAAGGACAATTACTTTGCATTTTTAATCACACAATATCTCAGTGCTGGTAGTGTTTGTCAGTAAACGATGATATACTGTAAAGTTAGGACAAAGTAAAGATACTGTACTACCTCTGTCTCTTTGGTTACCGCTGTGCACTTCCCTTCTGGCTTTTGATTTTCTTCAAATTTAACTTGTCCTTTCAAGGTTGGTTGGTTTATTTATTAATTTTTATTAGTTTTTCCTTGGATTGACATTTCAATTTCACCGCTGTGAAACAGCCACAGCATTAAGCTGGCAAAGCAGAGCTGGTAACGTCTGTTGTATGTGGGTAGCATGGGGAAAATTGTTTGTAAATAAAGATCAAGTTGAAGAATAGGTGGAATGACACTTGGGGGCAGACTATACCTCATAGCACTGATACATGGCATGTTGTATAAGATGGTTGGCTGATCTCCTGGAGCCTCAGCTGTCTTTTTAATGATTTCTGGGGCACAACACCTTGACCTTTCAGACCTCTGTCTTTTAAACTTAGCTCAGCAGCTCACTGGGCACACGTTGCTGTCAAGTGCAGTTACAGAGAAGCAATTCTGTTGGTAAAAGGAAATGAGTGGCCTTTGAATTGCAGTAGTGAAGGTGGATTTGCTGGAGCGCCTTAGTTTGGGTTGACCGTTGATGCGCACGTTAAAAAATGGAGATAACAGCCTGTTTTCTTTGTGTTCCTGCCCACTTGTCTATATCTTACTCACTGCTCTTTATGATCATCCTTTTTCTAGAGGACAGATGCGCGGGGTCTCCCTCAGGTAACCAGGGTTTCCCAGGGCTCCAGTGGGACAGTTATCACCCTTGTTTCCATGGCAGTTGTTGGAGGTGTGCTGGTATTGGCCATGGCCGTAGCTTGTCTCAGGCACTATGCTCAGCAAGTGAACAATGGCAAGCTTGGCCTGGGACCAGAGGGAGGTGCAGAAACTCACTTTGACTACCAGGTAAGGCTACATAAGGGATCTGGTCAAAATCCCTTACATACAAGTGTCCTTTAGTGCTATTTGATGCATTTTCATCATTATGTATTTTCCCGGTGTTGAGGTGTTATAATGGATGGAAAAGCAGAAAAAGGCAGATAATTAAAAGCATCGAGAATAGCTCTTAAGTCAGGCAGTTAATTGCGTGCAGTTTATGCATTAAATGCCTAAAGTAATGCAGTTTTCCATCTGTTCAGGAGCTATGTCGGCAGCACATGGCATCTAAATCCTCCCTGTGCCGCCAGGACTGTGTGGGAGTGAGCAGCAGCATCTCTGGACCTGCTGTAAGCACGGGTGCAGGTGGACGGAGGGGTACAGATACATCCCGTGTCAGCAGCGTTTCCTCCCAGTTCAGTGATGGTCCCCAGCACAGCCCATCCTCCACCCACAGCTCCACCCCGTCCTGGAGCGAGGAGCCTGCCCAGTCTAACATGGACATCTCCACCGGTCACATGATACTAGTGAGTGAAAAACAGTCAGCATGGAGAGTAAATGTACTACAGATTGGTGAAAGGTATTCTCTGCTCTTTGTTTATTTCTTGTGTCCCGTCTCTTCCTCAGGCGTATATGGAGGATCACCTGCGTAATAAGGACCGTCTCCAGAAGGAGTGGGAGGCCTTGTGTTCCTATCAGGCGGAACCCAGTTCACTAGCTGTGGCTCAGTCTGCAGACAACATGGACAAAAACAGACATGCTGAAGCCCTCCCCTGTTAGTTCATTAACATTTAACACTTTTTATAATTTCTATATTTTGTACATTTTCATGGAAAGTATTTAATTGAAAGTCTCACCAACCTTTAACCTAAACCTTTAGCATAATTAAAGCCCAAACACCTTCTTTTTTTCTTCCAGATGATCACTCTCGTGTGAAACTGAAGACTGATGTAAACCCCAATAAACAAGATTATGTCAATGCCAGCATCATTGTAAGAATCCCTCATGTCAAATAAAACATATATAAAATATGACATAGTTATTCAGTTAGGTATAAATTTGTGTAATACTCTGTTGCTGGATAGATGACTTTATAAAGAAAGGAGTCATTGTTTGGATGTAAGGAAACACTTTGAAGCATAATTATTTGGATGTGTTGTATGAGAACATACAACACATCTATCTGCAGCTCAATCAGGATACACCGTGACATATTTTTCTCTCTTGATATCGAGAGAAATTAAGAAATACTTAATTTGTAACCAAATCTTAATATTATAATTTTATGAAAATGTAAATTGCATCTGGACTTTCTAATACTCATATTCTGTGCATGGATTTTAAGAGACTCTTTTTCCTTTTTCAATCATCAGTTTGATCATGATCCTCGCCAACCATCTTACATTGCCACACAGGGACCTCTTCCCCATACTGTTGCTGATTTCTGGCAGGTTGGTGCAGTCTCCCCTTTGCTTCTTTCCCTCATCACTCTGTCTTCCTCCCATTTCTATGAATTTGTAATATATTCAGTGCAAAAGACAGTAAAGCAGTGCATATTTTACAGCCATATATCGAGTCTTCTTAAAGTGACATTAAGATGTGTGTTTGTGTATGTGCTTGCTCTGTTCAACCTTTAGATGGTGTGGGAGAACGGCTGCACAGTGATTGTTATGATGACAGCTTTGGTGGAGGACGGAGAGAAGCAGTGTGAACGATACTGGCCTGACGAGGGCTCGTCACTCTACCACATCTATGAGGTTAATTTCCTGTTTAACTTTGAGCTTTCTCGCGTAGTGCAGAAGATAACATTACAAGTGTACGTCCACAAGTGATCACCCAAAAATTGGCACATATCTGCTTCTGTCACTGTCATTTTCTTTGTATAAAGCCTGTTAGCTAATTGATGTCTTAAGATGGTGGCTGTTTTCAAGATGGCTGTCCACAAAGGCAAGAAAATATGCATATTTTTATATAACGTAAACTAGACATGCCATTCCTGAATGATCATAGTGTCAAATTTTACAAGTTTCACAAAAATGAAGTCTGAAAACTACTTTTCAGCTCAACCTCATGTGTCTGAATTTAGTTGTTTTTACTGTATTAATATTACTGATCTGAAATCACACAAACTTAAAATCCTAGTTGTATTTTTTTACTGTAAAAAAAACACAGACATGTTGAGTAAATTAAACTTGAAATGCAAATATAAATTGTACATTTTAAAAAAAATTATGCACACATTTTGTAAACATATACAACTATTTATCTAAAAATGCAGTCAATACACCTGCCGTTTTTTTTTTTTATTTTGTACAGCCACTTAAAAATATTACTCTAACTAAAATGAGAGAACAATCAGGTCTTGCAGTAAGATGCCCCACAAATTATGTTTTCCACAGGGAAAAACCTGCAGGCCTGACAACAGGAGGTGTATCACTCCGCTGGTTTTCCACTTAGTGACAGTGTTTACATTGCAAATGTGCCTTTGTGACATTCATTAGTGCCCTCGCTGACACACAAAACAAAACAATGACTACACAACAGACTAACTACACAAGACAACACAACACACTAACTGTACACTCCACACTAAACGTCAGAAATGTCCCACTTCTAAAAACTCGCTCTCTCTCTCTCACTCGCTCGCTCTGTCTCGCTGCCGTTACCGTCACTCCCAAAACGTTCCCCTCTTCCTAAACAACCAAATCCCATGTGTTGACTTTTTTTTTAAATTGGTCGAAGAAAACAAAAATGTAACGACAGTATTTAGGAAAAAGCATGGCTTATATATACAAATATTTTTTATCATAACTCTGGATTTACTGGGCTGTAATTAAAATGTAAAAACTTTGAAGTCCAAACATTCAACGCGGGCTCAAAAACTCAGCACGGCTGCAGCTTGTTGCTGTGTCAGCTTAAATCAGTCATGTGATTTGGAGGTGCAGCGTGTCCGTGTCCGTGGACTCCCAGACGGTTAACAACACTCACCTTCATTCCATTTCCAGAGTGCAACAACCAACCACCTGAAATCTGTGAATCTGTGAAATCTGAAATTCCCATGGTGTTGTTCAAAATGTGCTCTGACACAATCATAAGCATCGCTTGCTACTGAAAACAAGAAAAAAGCCAGTCTGCGCTATGGGCTGAACCATTTGTTAATAGTGGAGGGGGGGGGTAACACTATGCAATATATTCAGTTTTAGCATTTATGCTCACTGTTAACTGTAACTACACTTAAAGTGTTAATCTAAGTGTTAATCTATAATCTATCTTATTTTAATCAACAACACTGTCATATGCAAAACTAGGGTGGCACTTGAGGTGGCAAGAGATCATTTTAGGGTGGCACTTGCCACCCCATGCCACCCTTTTAGATCCGCCCCTGCTTAGACATGAAACTAAACCCCAAATGCCCCCGGTGCCTACATCGAGCTTTGCATGAGTGTTAAAAATGTGTTTCTGGAGAAACAAATCATTCACCATGGAGTAAAGGAGAGGGCAGAACTCAGAGAGCAATAACTTTATATACTTGATATCGTACTTGGATTAGTCATTTTATTTAGCCAATACAACAAATATCTGGGTAACCTCACAGCAAGAGGGTTCTGGGTTTGAACTCCTCCAAAGAACTGCTTGTCAGGTTAACTGGTGATACTTAAGTGGCTGTTGGTGTGACCTAACGTTATCTGTCTGTTAGCATGTTAGAAAAATAACTGGTTTACATTACATTTTGACCTACCTATAGCGAAAAGCATATAAATCAAAGTGAAACTTGAAAAGTAGGCAGTGGTTGAAATGATGTAATAAAACAGTGATATTTGCACGATTGTTTCAACACTCGTGGAAAAGATTCCTTGATTAGCCCTGCTGTTTTTGTTCAAAATATATGACAAAAAACGATGAGTCATAGAGAATACAATGAATAAAGCTGATTAGACTTAGATTCACTGTGCCTTGTTTATACTAAAGTTATTTTCACAGCAAGTAAGTAAGTACACAGTATATATAACCTTTTTTTCTCCTGGAAGTTTACCTGATTAAACGCTTGCAAGCTGAATCTCTGTATATTTAAATTTTAAATAATTCAAAAGATTTATGACTCGTATTTTTTACCCCTTTTCCCTGCATCCAACCCCTCCCTCTCTTCTTTCCTCACCACTGTGTCTTTGTGTATGTCAGGTGAACCTGGTGTCAGAACACATCTGGTGCAAGGACTTCCTGGTGCGTAGCTTCTACCTGAAAAATGTCCAGACGCAGGAGACACGTACCTTGACCCAGTTTCACCTGCTGAGCTGGCCAGCTGATGGCATCCCCACCTCCACACGACCACTGCTTGACTTCCGCAGGTAAGAAACTATCCACAAACATGCACGCAGACTGCCCTTCTTTATACAAAAGCATACAAATAAATATATGTATAAACACTTGAAATACCAGTAGTCACATAGGTGGATTTGAATCCCGCTGATCGCCTTCATGTCCATCTCTTTTCTGTTTTCCATCCTCCCTGCCATTTGTAAGTGTATATGATCACTTTCCGTGTAATTCATTTCAAGCTTAATCCATCATCGTTGACACTCTCTCTCTCCCTCTACCCCAGTGTGCAGGTTGACAGGTTTGTATTTTAACATCTCCCAGTGTCATTTTTGTGGTTTGCAGCTAGTACTCTGGCTCCAGTTGCATAGTCATAAAAATGAGCATTGGCAGGTGTGACTGGCTACTGCAAGAGGGACAGTGAATCTGTGGCTTCCTCTCCACTTATTCTATCCTGTTTTCACCATCTCACTGTCCTCCACACCCTCATCCAGTATCTAATTTTCCCATCCAGTCAAATTTCCAGCTATTCCTGATCTCATTTTATTTACCTGTCACATGCAGTTATTCCATTCCTTGTATTTCCAACATGGTCACTTACTTTGTTTTCACTGTGATATTCCACAAATACTCAAAGCAGACTTTGCCATTTCTGTATTAATAATAAGATGTTATTATTTTATTGTGAAAAGGTCAGTTGTAACCTTTACCATAAATATTTTATAACCAAGCACATTTTCCTGTCATTTGTCTTTTTCTTTCTTTTCTCTCCCTGATTTTTACTTTTTCAGGAAGGTGAATAAATGCTACAGAGGTCGTTCCTGTCCAATCATCGTTCACTGCGGGTAAGACTGAAAGGAAGATACTCTGGTGTTTGTAGGATCACAGATTTCTGTGGAACAACAGAAATCGCAGATATGCATGTGAATTTTCTGCTTAAAGGGTATTTTAAAGAAAAATACTTTGTAAGATCATGTTTGCGTTTCTGTCACTCCCACAGTGATGGCACTGGCAGGACTGGCACGTATATCCTTATTGACATGGTGCTGAACCGCATGGCCAAGGGTGAGTCAGTTAAAACAAAAACATAACCCAGAAACATTACATCCATACCTAATCTTTATGACTTACAGCCCACAGATGATGCAGTGAAAGATTTTGAGAAGTCAAATCTTTAATTGGTCTGAGTCATATTACAGTTGCATTTCCTATCAACTACAGCAGAGGGTGCTATAGTATCAAGCTGCTTGTTGAAGGAAATTAGGCACTGGTAGTTCAGACTATATTTTAATAATTACAAACTTAATCATATGTGCATACTTTTACAGTATTTCTGCTGAGTGGTTTAGCAGCTTAACTGGAATCTTGTAGAAAGAGTCAGGAAACTTGAAATGCAATCAAATCACATCTATACCATTCAAAGTCTTATTTTACTGAAACTAATTTCAGCTGGGTTGCATTTTCTTTTTCCTTTTTTTTTTCTTGCAGTTGTCAGAATCTGTTTTTGTTTATCAGACATGGTTGCTGTCTGTTTAGACTTCAACCTCAAATGAGACATTGACCTTTTCACTGTCTCTTGTCAGTTCTATCACAATAGTTCTTCACAAATAACCTCAACAGATCAATTTTGTGAATTTTCTACATCCATATCATCTGAAAATAGCAGATTTAGATTGATGGGGATCAGAAAAAAACTATTAGTGATGCTGCTACTATTCTTGATGACATTAGGAGTGAAGGAGATCGACATTGCAGCCACACTGGAGCACATCAGAGACCAGAGACCTGGCCTAGTCCACACCAAGGTACATACCGTCCATTTGTTTGCGTGCATATTTTTTTCAGTATATTTTTTTCTAGTCTTCAGATTGTGCATCATTACCCAAATGCCTCACTGCCCTGCTCTTCCTAATTAGGACCAGTTTGAGTTTGCCCTGACGGCGGTAGCTGAGGAGGTGAATGCCATTTTGAAAGCCCTGCCACAGTGAGATACAGCTGCTGATGGATACAATGACATGCAGACACAAAAGAATACACGCTCCAGTGGACACACTTGTATGATTCAGTCATGTATGATCATTACTGTACATAAAAATCTGCTTGGCCACAGTGGAGCTATTATTGCTCTTGCTTTTTTCCCTGCTGACTCATTGTCTGGGTGTTCAAAACATTTTGGAATCAAATTTTATTTTGAGGATTTTTTTTCCAGGAAGCAAAAGGAAAGAGACTCAAAGTTCTTTCCAATTAGAGCAAGATTCGATTTTTCTGTTAGTATCTTAAGTTTCTAATTACACATGGAGGCGGTTATCAGTCGGGAATTTAACAGAAAACCTTGGTGCCTGTGTGAATCCAGATGAATATGAGATAAGCTTGGTCATGCTGTCAGACAGAATAGTTATCTTACACTCATCTGATTAAATTGTTACTGGACATTATTACCTCAAATGATCAGCCAACATAAAAAGAATTTATGACCAACACAGGGTTTGTATTGGCTGCTCTGGTGAACATATAAATTGGGCCAAAGTTATAATACTGTCAAACCTCCTGTCAAAACGTATCAAATATTTATGACTGCCATCCCAGTTAAACATGGTGTGGTTGTTCTCCGATGTAACTTTGAATGTGTTGTTATTCGTGTCCATTTGAATACTGTATTCTTTTGTCGAGTGTGTTTTTATTTCTGAGGCGTGTCTTTTTTGCCTTGAAAACATGATCGTTTGCTTTCAGCGCTGGTCGTTTCGTAATGGATGTTCGACTTGACCATGAACTACCTTCTCGCCGTCTCCCTTTCTGCACACAAAGCAACTTTGCGTTCTTCTATTGTCTTACTCAGTGTACGACCTTGTGATTCGTGTAAATAATTCATTCTGATGATTGTGTTTATTTCATGTAGCAGACCGACAGAAAATATCTATAAAAATGTATTTTTGACTTGACCTAAATAAATTTGTGATGTGATGCAGCAGAAAACAAACTCAAATGCCTTCAGTGTTCTCTGTTTTCTGGATTGCTGATTCTACCATGACTGCAAGATAGCCACTGTGATATAATCCATCATCAAGCACCATAATGAAGCCTTGAGCATCTTGACTCACTAACTTGGCTTTTGGAAACAAGATGTGATGAGCTAGAGTGATCTGAGTGAGAAACCAAGGGCCCACCCTACCACCCTACAGTATAGCAGCCTGCTTTATCCCTTTTTTAACATCAACAGACACCATTAACACTTGAAACTAGCAATTCAGATCATTAGAAAAGTTCTTACTATGGTCGCAAATTATAGGAGCAGTATGGTCATTGTCTCAAAGACATCGATACAATTGGACATTTTTCTATTAAACCAGAGGTGTCACTCCCTCCTGGCAATTATAAAGAATGCAGTTTGTGTTGCACTTTACTTTTTTAACCCTAAGCTACATCTAAATTTTATATATCTTCTTCTTTGGGTTAAAGGGTTTTTTATCTTATAACAACGAGGAGGCACAGCATTTTATCAATGCTTCACACATTTGCTTTTTAACGCTCCAAAGCAGTTAAAGATGAACATATTACAATTTTTTACCTCAACTTTATGGTTTTATCCTAACTGTTAGACAGCCTTAATCTTGCCACAAAGACGCTACCACAAACTGAGAAAAAAAGTCAGCAGGAAAATCTTTATTTTCTCTGCTTCATGTGTTTTACAAGAACTTTCTTTTTGCTTTGTGCACTGTTTTCATATTTATTAGAAACATGATGATTTGATGAAGAGATGATTGTAACTACTGTACCTCCTTAGAGTTTTCAGTCTTTTGTTCCACAATGAGCTATATACACACATGCACTCAGAGACACAAACATATTAAATACATATATCTTATAAGTGTCATTCAGCAGGTAGGAGCCATGGCGGGCAGAGATAGAAAAGTGCATTGTGGGATATAATCTTTGACCTGTAAGAATAGATGTACAAGGACAGGTTATACTTAATCAGATATGCAAGTAGGCATCATCTGATATCATCTACTTGGAGTTTAGGGGGCAGGAGAAGGAATGGGTGCCTCAGATTCACACTGGTTCTTTACCTCAGGGCAGGGCAAGGGCACAGAGCAGCGTGAGCCAATCAGGTTAGGTTGTGAAGGCCTCGAAGTCTGAGTCTGAAACAGGAAGCATGAATCGTAAGAGAAACGAACAAGTATTCAAACTTATGTCCCAACAATATGATACTAGATGTGTTTGCTACATAACAGATGAAAAGTAACGTGTATGTGATCCAGCACATTTAAACATTAACGCCAACAAGACTGAATAACCTGATCCAAGGAAGTCGTAAGTGCAGATAAACTAAATTAAAAATACAATAAAATAAAAACACACAACAGTCTATGGGACTTAATTACTGTTTTAGTTTAAAACACAATGACTAATGATGCCCTTGCCCCTGTTACATATCTTATCACAAATGATGCATTATGCCACTCGCATAATAAGGGCTATACTGAAAATATAAGCTCCTGATCTGAACTTAATCAAGACACACAGAAACAGTTAACCACATACATGTGCAGTTTCCAAATCAGTAAAAGCAGGAAGTAGTTTTTAATGCATGATTCTGTTGTCTTATAATGTTTAAGGGCCCTGAGAACTGAAAATAATCCTTCAGATTTCCATGACTATATAATTATCAAACAGTTATCATACTGTATCATCATTTTGCACTAGCATGAATTAAATTAGTGGAAAATACGTGGCTGCCATATTCTAAAAAAATAAAATATTCCAAATTATCTTGTGGCACAATCTTTATTCGTTAATTCCTTTTTAACAATGTGAAAATAAAAAGAACATCAACATGTGAGTAATCAGTAACAATTAATACAGGCTGATATATTTATTAAAGTTTTCATTTGCCTATTTCACTTTTAGTTTTCGCCAGTGCTGAGAGCTATACTTTCAAGTGAAAACAAAACTCGTGCAATCTATGATGAATGAGGCACTCGTGAAAAATATGTGTCAATATAAATTACAAACATAAAGCATAAAACACACCAGGGCAAAGGGACACTGCCTGTAATTAGAAACTCATTGAGACAGGCATGTGTCTTTTTTTAATGCATATTACAACATAACACTGGCAGCAGTAATTATTTTAACATCTGCATGATTTGGCACCAGCATGATTTTCTTTTGCTTTCAGCTTTGCCCGGCAGCAACAACCACATTTAAAACATTTCTTAGTGTTGCATTAAAACATTGGCAGTATCTTCATGTTACTTGAGATCTACGAAAAAGGCATATTTGAGTTTTATCCATGAGTTCCAACACTAACTATTTTCAGTGACTCCATCCTGTGACTGTCTCACAGACACAAACATGCAGCCCAGCAAAATCAATATTTGCGGGACATGAGCTGGATAAACTATTTCAGTTACCATTCACATTAAACCCAACTTTAGTAGCAGCTGACTGATTGTCTAACTGAAATTTAATTGTAGAAAACTAGTCTGTTTATTCCTATTTACTTTTGTCTACTTTCATTAATTATTAAGACATATAATTTAATCAAAAAAATATTTAAGCCTGAAAGCTGGGAAGCTGTGTAGGAGGGAAAGTCATCAAAGTCACCCCTAAAGTACAGTGTTTGTAATTTTGCACACAAGGGAGCTCATCTGGAGTTGGCTGAGGTTTAATATTTCGCTCAGGGAGCATGTAAACAAATGTTCTTTGATCATTTAGCTATTATACATCCTGTAACCGGATGCAATAATATAAACTTTTTAAAAAAGGACAGGTAACACACTGCCGTCACAATCATTGTCACTTTCTTCTTCCTCCAATCACTTGACAACACTCTCAGTCACATCTACTGCAGGAGGACCAAGGAGAATCCAAAAACTGATTTATCTTTTTAATTTGTTTATAAAGCTTGGCACGTTTGCATCGATAATGTAAGAATAACAAACACATAAGTAGTTAACATGTACAAAGACTTAACAATCATTATTTGTAGCTGTTTCAGTCACAATACTGTGATTTGTCCTTTAACTTAATAAAGTGCCCTCCCCAAACTATAATCTAAAATCTGATTACAATTTTAATGCTATTTGGGTAAAAGTGCAGGACCAACATATGATAAACTTGGATTTAATGATACACGAGCTCCTCCCTACTTCAACTTTCCAACAACAAGATAGTCAAAGTGTGTGAGCATGTGCTTCACCTAACTACTTATTGCTTCATACTTATTCTGGACATCATAACAAGCTGGCTGAGAAACACTGGTCTTCAGTTAAAAGTAGTTTATGTGGCAACCTGGAAATAAACCACAAAAAGTTCTGTGGGCTACCTTTGATTTCCGTGCGGCACAGTTGTGCAACATTCCCACTGCCAGAGTCTGAATGAGAAAATTCTATGGCAAGGTCTCAGCTGACTCAAACACAGAAAGAGCTACACAGGACGACATGCACACACAAACACCACCGCACACACTCAATTTTAGACCTTCACTGACATAATGTATTCTGAAAAAACTTACACAAACTTCAAAATTCCCAAATATATTCCTAACTACAGGTTTGGCTTTAAACCTAAACTCAAACCTTAAATTCTAAAAGGCATTTCAAGCTTTGTTTTTAGAGTTACTTAAACTGGTCCTCACAAAAGACTCAATTGAAGCCATATACACAACAGATCTAAATCATCACTTAATTCCAATTCATCAGTCTATGCAAATATCTGGCAAATTCGCGTTCACAAGCAATCCTCCACACCAGCTTGCACCCAAATGCAAAAACAATTTAAATGTCTGTGATAATGTAGAAACATAACCACAAATCTTATCTTTAGTGTGTTCCTTTGGAGGAATGTGAAGCCTTGTCATCAGTATAGGCACTGTCTCAAATAAAGATCTGCTCAATTCACATTACATTAGAGCCGGCTGAAGGCAAAACACTGAGGTCAGTATAATAAGGCAACCCAAAGAAGGTAAACCTACATAAACACATCATTAGGAGACAACACACCCACACTTCTTTTTCTTTTTCACGCTGCAATCACTTTTTATCACAGGTTTAAACTTCTCCTCACTGCACTGGCTTAGGGGTGTAGTGCTGGCAGTTGTGGATGACTCAGGGGAGAAGCCTGGCTCCACTGTACCCTTTGCTACACTTTTGCATCCATCTCCAGCCACTGAACCCAATTTTATCTCTTTACAGTTCTGCCCTGCAACAACCTCTTCCCTGCTCTGTACATTCAAATGTTTTGCCTTAGCAATCCCGCCATCTAAACGGCCCCTAGTTTTGTCACTGACAGCTCTGCCCCCACCCCGAGCACCTGATATGTAGTCGTTAGCAGCAGCTCTCTGCTGGGCTTCCATTTCTGACAGGCTGCATGCCAAAGCCATCTGTAGGTCTTCATCTTCCTCATCATCCTCACTGCCTCCCGCAACCCCGTAGTGGTAGAACGGGGCCGAGCTAAATGAACGATGCGTGGGTGAAGTGTAAGGGCTCAGGCGGGACCTGTGTGACTCAGCGGTTTTGTTCTGGAGTCGTGGCTTCGGAGTGGCCTGCTCCTCTCGTCGGCTCAGCTCCAGAGCAAGGGCCATTTCATCTTCCACACCTTCGATCAAAACAAAAACAACAAGACAGCTGTCTCACTGCACAATCAACACAAAGCAAAAACCTTAGACATACAGAAAAACACATAACCAAGCAAAAACTTCAGGTCAAGCGGTAATACAAAAACTAAAGCCAAGGTACATATAGTTAAACAAACTAAACCAATAACTAAAACTATGTGAAAAACATTTCCGCAGACTAAAAAAAACATGATTAAGGCTTTAAAAGAAAAAATAAAACTAACTGAAATTATTTTGTGAAAAATATCAAGCAAATATCCTTAGTATTTGTTAAACTTGTAAAATTACATTCATCAGTGCTGATGAGGCACTGATGAATTTGTTTATTGAGACTTCGGATGTCTACAAGACTAAGAGTT